ACCTTACTTTGTGTTGGTGTCTGTGACTGAAGACACACTTGGCAAAGTGGCTAAGGATCCGACTGAGCATGGTGCAGAACTACAGGATCTTGGTGATGGAACTGGGTATCCTGAAGAAGGGAACTATATCTCTCCCGATATTATCTCGCTCTCGTCTTCCAATCTCAACAGTGCCGGTAAGTTCCCAGAACTCAAACTATTGTTCATGCTCTGGCTTCACTTCACTTAGCCAAATGCTGGATTATAACAGCCGTCTTCGCGCCTTGTCTGGAGGACACGGTCAATTCAATATGCTCAGTGCCGGATTCCGTGTTGTCACTGAACCACGAAAGATGGTTAGATCTTCGAGGATATGCTGCATGACTGTATCGATCATCCACTACCGACCTCGACTGACCCCTTTTGATGGACTAGATTCGTTGTCCGAAGGCCAGCTTCAGGAACTCGCTAAGGCGCAACATGCGGAGTTATGCACGCTCGACGAGTGCGCTTTCTCCTTGCTAGGTGCTCTGACTCTCATTCGAACATTTTCCCAGAATGGTGATAGCGTTACTCTTGATGGTGGTTCAGAGTATGGGAAGGACTGTAACGATGTGAAAGTGACGTCCGCACGGTTGCAGCAAGAGCCTTCGATGTCTGACAAGAACTCATCGGTGTCAAGGCGATCGGCGAATCCATTCCAACATCAGGGGACAGGACTCTGACAACCTCAAAAGGCGTCTGATATAGCCTTCAGGCTCTGAGTTATGTGATGAGGTATGCATACATCATGTCCATTCTGCCCTCTTAGGAGAAGTCCTCAATTTCATTTAGGTCCGTGCAAACACGTTACACCTTTCTCCCCGTTCTCACTCACACCAACTTCAATCACTGCGAGACCAACTTTGCGGGTATGCATCCTCGGTCACCGTCACCGTAAACGCATTAACCAATCGGCTCACTACCATCCTCAGCTACATCGTCAAACAAGGACTGCTTTTTCCGAACGAAAAACTTCCTGAAGCTCATAGAAAGGATGAGCTCGAATCGCTCCGATGGTACCGATCAATATGTAGCCAGGTACGATCAAGATCGGGTGTCTCCGTCGTGATCCGCACAGGGTGGCGGTGCGAAAAGAAGCCCGCCCCGATCATCGACCATTACTTAGCGGGGAGGAGATATCGAACAGGGATCGCCGAAGGAAAATGAGGGTGAGTGTAGCTCACATCCACAAGGAGTTCAACGTCTCAAATATCCTAGCGAAAGGCTTCATATCCCGGATAAATGGCTTCGCATATCACTCTGTGAAAGATCGCCTGTTTTGCGTTTTGGCTGAAATTTTTGTCGCCCATACAAACCTCGTTTGTTCTCCAGCTCTACTCATCAACCTTGTCTTCGTTATATGATTCATTTTTCTTGTTCTTGTTTGTCTCCCAGGATTCTCGAAGTTGTTGAAGCCAAATGATCACAAACGATTATTCATCTTGATCCCATCGACAGCAGCAGCTAAAACCCTTCTTAATCCCATCCACCGCGCTCCAAACTCAACAAATCAGTGCTTGCCTTGATTTCACATCCTCCTGATAACAGGCTCCTTTTCACAACAAATCATCCTTATTCCCTAAACGGCTCTCCACTCAATGGCCAAACGACCCAGATTCATCGTGCGCGCTCTCTACACGTTTCGCCGGGCTCGCGCTACCTCGTCGGCTGATGGACCGGGCTATCTTTACGCGTTCGTTGATCACGGTCGCCGATGGAAGATTGGGATGAGTCGCGATTTCGAGCGAAGGAAAAAAGAATGGGACCAGTGGTGCCCTTGCGAGGATCGGGTCTGGATGGATCCTATTGCTACGACGAGGAGACGTCGAGCAGGTGAGTCAAATGATCATTATCGAGATACCGACTTCAAATTCGCTTTCGTAGAATCACTAGCGCATCTCTCTTTAGAGCTCGAATGCTCTCAACGACCCAAAGATTATTGCAACAATTGTACGTCTCTCAATTTCTGAGCACCTAATCGCCAATTCTCCTTCTTCCAGGCCGAAGAAAGCACATCGAGATCTTCCTATTTTCGGACGATTGGGTTTCAGACTGGTTGACCATTGTTCGTCCTGTCCTCGTCAGGTCATCGACGGCGTGAGGTATGTACATAGTTCTTACTTTTCTCAAGTTCTTCGCTGACTTTCATCAGTTATGGTAACGGGGAACTTATACCAAATGTATTGAATTGTTAGTGTAGTTTGAAACGAACCGAGCACGCAACCCTCTCCAAATCTAAATATCCAAAAACCTCGCAACAAAATGCGAAAAAAAGCCATAAGCTACGTCTTACAGTATACATGCTCATGCTGATTTCCCCGTTAATAAGAATGCGTTAGGCTCGCCGCATTCGCTCTGTTCGTACCATTGCCGAAACGATGCAATACAGGTGTGCTCCTTCCGGATGGTGAGTGAAAATTCCCAGAAGTTTCGTATCCTCAGGAGCACCGCTTCTCTAATATGTGCTTCTCTATGTCCAGAATGCCCGACACGGACCCGCAGGCATCGTTTAACACAATGAGGACGACAAAGCGCAAGGCCTTTTCTGAAGGTGAATCCAACATACATTGTTCTGTTCTCCTCTCTGACTTCTAAACTCTACTCTCCTCAGGACACCCTGCTTTATTTGCCACTTTGATTCAAGTTTCTCTCCAGCTCACCCCTCAAGCAATTCCTACATTCCCGAATCCGTTTTCTACGTGGGAGGTTTTTGCTTCTCATCGTGATGCTCTGCCAACGTCTTTTTCTTTTCTTTCAACAGGGATGAAGCAGCTCAGAGCTTCCCTTAAGTTTTCACCGTCAAATTGAGGGCCGGATCCCAGACAACCCTGACGGGTGGTTACGACGACGACGACTACGACGTTCTCCAACACCCGAGATATAGCAAAGGCCATGAGCCTGCACTTTACGGATGCACGTCTCATCGAAAACGGTGCCGACCCTACCTCCAACATGCTCAAGTACAGAGGTATCTACGTCTTCACGCTCAAGGAACTGCATATCTTGGAGCGATTCATCAGCAAGTCGGACAGAATCAACTCTGATCACCTTCTGGAGGTCTTCATGACCCAGCCCGTCTGCATAAGACTCCTTCATTTCGAACGACGATCAGCTGATGACGAGAAGTATGAGTACTGGAAATGCAGAGGATCTACATGCTCAGAAACGCGGTGCAGCTTTGCGAGGACAGGATTCCCAATTTTCACTTGGTGCGAATACGTCGCCCAGTGGCTGGGATGGTGCTTTGAGTGAGGAGATCGCAAAAGAGCTTGAAAAGGACACTGGTGGAGTTGGTTTAGTGTTCGCTTTTCATACTGCTATTGATATTGAAACTGACGGATCTCTTTGAACCAGAAAAAGGACTTTATTCTTGAGCATGAAGGGACCATTTAGAAGTCTCCTACATGGCTGGTCCAGGAGATGAGAAAGCAGGAAAGGCATGGCGTACAGTTCGTAAACCCTCGGATGTGGTACGACGGTTGTACTGTCCTGTTAGCGGCTCCCATTGACCACTTTGTCTCCAGAACGAATATGCTAAACAAATCATAGAGTCTGGAAATCAAGAGAAATTTGTCAAAGGTAAGTCAACTTGACCACTCCTCAAACGTTTTGTTAATCTCGGAATCTAGTACTCGGTGTCACAAGTCTCGTAGTACCCATGCCTGCGGAGCCAGCTGCGGTCTCCTGCACTCTCAATAATGGAACAAGAATTCGAGCTGCGAGTGTTCCTTGTCCATCGTTCTAGTACATCCTCTGATTTAACCTTCCTCAGAATTGAACATAGTAAACTAAAGTTCACACACTCACGATCCAAATCCGTCGCGACCCTCATATCATCGCGCAATTTAAGGCTGTTGTCCCTCCTGCCCCTCCTCGACCACCTCCTATGACAACAATTCCTTCATCTTTATCATCCAAAGGCAGTGGAATGAGAAGTTTCTTCCATTCTTCATCTTAGAATAATAAAGATAAATGGCACAATACGCCGCCGCCGCCTCCCCCTCCACAACTTCCTCCATCACGTTTGACACAGAATCTTGCGAGGTATCTCAAACCAGATGGTACCCTCGCGAGGGCATTTTTGTCATTCAAGATATTACGAACCGCTGCGATACACGCCTCTTCGAAATGACGTTCCCGCTCATTGAACAGAGAGCTGAAGTACTCCACACTTCAGGTCGGAGAACTTGTTTTGCAGATGAGTCTAGGCTTCCTCTGTTGCCTGTTCTTCCTCCAGAAGAACACCCTCAAAGCTTAGAGGGAACTTGAACATGCGAACTGGCATAAGATGACTTACTTTGAAGGAACTCTGCCACAGAACGGAGGAGAGTAGCGTGAGTGCCATTTTTGCGATTCAGGCCTATCCATTTCCTCACTCCTATGATTCGGTCATCAGTCCTGGCGACATCGGCCATCCCGCGTGATCGGTTCAAATCGTCGTCTTCAACGATGTAACCAAACGGGTAACCGCCACAATCAACCTCCGCAATGCCATTGCAGTCGAAGACAATCAAGATTCTGAATACACAAGCGCCATGGCGGCGTTCGAAGTCCATCCTCTGGGGCTAGCCGTTAATATGATGAATGTGACAGATTGTTTGGGGTGGAGCTCCTTCTCCTTCTCCTCCTCCTCCTATATCGGTACCGGTGAGTTTCCTCCCCTCGGTGATATTCTCTGATTCCGTTCTCCGTTTTCGCCTGCGCCTCGTAAATTGACTCCATCAGCAAGTAACTGAGATTTGAATCCAAGCACTTGGACCAGTCCACTCGTTTACAACACGTTTCATCATGCTCTCAGGCAATAAATCAGTGGGCTGCATACCCGAGCTCCTTTCCATCGAACATCTGTTAGTACACTATATAAACTATAGTAGTCTCGTAGTCTCGTACCCGCCGAAGCGAAGCGCAGGCACTTTCTTTACCAATAATAGCAAAATAGCAAGAAAAAAAAAAGAAGATCAATTATAGATACCACGATACGTCCACTGCGAGATTCGAACTCGCATCGCTTGAGTGACGGAAAATCCTTGAAACGTGAACATACTTCAAGCACTCTAACCATTGAGCTAAGTGGACATTGTATTATATGCCTACCTTCACTATATGGTCAACTCTCGACCATTTGGGTTGGATTAGTGTAAAGTATTCGAATTTCCGATTTTCGGGTGCTTCGGCAAACTGCCTCGGCCAATCACTACATCCCGTGATTTATGCACGGCGAACGCGCTTGGTCACAAATTCTTTTTTAAACCACGATGAGCTTCCAACTCGACACGGGCATTTGCCAACGAAGAATTGATAGTGCTACCTTCAACGAAGGCGAGTTTTTTGATCATTCTCCTACGCTTCAAGTGCTCTCCTTGAAGAAATTTGTCAAAAAACAGGATAATACGGATGTTTCCTCTGATCGTTACCGTATCGTTTTGTCGGACGGCGCCCATTTCCTGCAAACCGTATTAGCGACTAACCTCAATTTTATGGTGGTAGAAGAAAATATCAAGAAGTACTCTATAATCTCTCTAGAGAGGTTGTCTTGTAGTTATGTGCAAGAAAAGCGGTTAGCGACGCGTCCCTTCGGTCGTGGTGAAGCCACTGAATTTGTGATACAGCCTCGTCGTCATCATGGCCTTAAGAATACTTGGACAAGCGGATGAGAAAATAGGCAAACCTATTCCTCTGGAAACAAATCTTCCGGAAGCTCCGACTCCTCCTACAGTCGAAAAATCTCTTCGGCAGCCTACTGCCCAACTTGAATCCACTTCCATCCGCGATATTCCAGCACTATCTGTCTGTCGTCCTCCCCAGAGGGGCAACTGTCTTCCTATCGAGGCTCTTAGTCCTTATCAGAACAATTGGACGATCAAAGCAAAGATTACACGGAAGTCAGAACTGAAATCATATTCGAACGCACGCGGAGAAGGCAAGGTATAAGGCAAGGTATTCAACGTGACTTTCAAGGATGAAACTGGTGAAATTAGAGCCGCCGCGTTCAATACTCTCGCCGAAAACCTTTTCCCCAAACTGGAGGAAGGAAAGGTCTACTACGTCTCGAAAGGAAAGGTCAACCTCGCGAACAAGAAATTCTCCAATGTCCACAATGACTTCGAGATCACTCTAGAGAAAAAATCTGAGATCACAGAGGTATGATTTGCCCATGTCACTTCGACAATTCCTCTGTCTGAGCATATCTATTCCAGTGTTTGGAGACATTAAATCTTCCTATCATGGAGTATAGCTTCGTAGCTTTGCGGGAGTTGCATGGTTCGCCCAAGAGCTCTATTTGCAGTATGTACATCTAATCGTATAAGTATCTACTGACCTCATTGCCTAGCAGATGTGATTGGCATCCTGAAGGAATATGGCGATGTTTCTGTAATCGCTTCTCCGAAAGCCACTGATCGCCTGGTCAGCATTCATGACAATTCGAATGCTTGCGCAAATATCTAATCGTAACCTTTTCTTTGCAAATGCAGAAGAGAGATCTGACACTGGTCGACAAATCAGGGTTCTCAGCGAGGGTGACTCTCTGGGGCGACCAAGCCAAGACCTTCAACCCTGGTAGACAAAACGAGAACATTGCTTATCCTGCCTGCGAGACTTGTAACAAGAAGGTCGTTGAGGAAGGGGACTCGTGGAGATGCGATAAGTGCGACAAAATACTGAGTCGCCCTACTTACAGGTATACCAATGTCTGTTCTATTCTCGTCCAGTGTTGGACTCCTTTTCACAGATAAGTATATCATGTCGTTCGCTGTTTCCGATCACACAGGCCAAGCCTGGTTCCATGGGTTCAATGACGTCGGTAATACGCTCTTTGGGAAATCCGCAAACGAAATGACGGAGATCAAGGTAGGTTGAGGTGCAAATACGCTCTATTCATGCAACTGATTGAATTTAAGTAACCAGGACAGTGATGATGTACAATACAACACCATATTGACGAAGGCTTGCTGCAAGTCGTACAACTTTTTGCTTCGCGCGAAACGCGAGTTCTATATTATAATGTTCGTCCGACGTCTATGACTTATCTCTTCGTCTGACTCCTGATGTCTATCGATCGTAGGAACACAACCGTATCAGGTATGGAGTCGTTTGCATCTTGCCGTTGAACTACAAGGAAGAAAACAAAGCCTGCTGAACTTGATGGGCACCCCTTGGGGTCAGCAGCAATTGAAAACGCAGTCGAACGACATGATGGTGCACTAGATGCAGAACGGATCTTGTACGATAGTACCTGCTCATAGTTTATAGTGCTCTTCCTTCTATCTTGTACTCGATACGTTCAGCAAACTTGTTTGAACTATAGTCTATAATCCTAGCCTATCGGAGGATAAGCTGAATAGAGGCGTGAGAGTTCGGTTGAGCGCTTAACTCTTTGCTTCCAAACTCTCATCACCTCTGCATACATCGAGCTCAAATTCTCAGCGCCCACCTCTCTCCCTGGTCCAAAATCTTTCGTCGAACTTAGTCTCTTACAGGCACAGGTGAAGACCAGTGCTCTGGACTGACTCTGCGCACTTAGGGCTTACAGCTTGATTAATATAGTTAGCCCACCCGCGCGGGGCCAACCCAGCCAAACACAACCTGCGCCGCAATACGATTCCACTAGGGTAGCCTCGTCCCTCGCTTATCCGGTGTATAGGATCACTCTACCTCGACAAGAATGGAAACTTTTTGGTCGTCTTAGTCGGATGGGCGGTCAAGATTCCTGGGGGTCTCGAACCCCCTTGCCCAAATGTTTCATGGTCGCCTTGCTTTTTGTCGAATTTAAAAATGCTCAAACTACCTCTTCCATCTTGTGCTTGTACTTAGCAGTGGCGCCCGATACTTCTGGATTTGCCAGGGAACATGACTCAAACGGATGATTTATCCTTACAGACGGTGAGTTCACCTACCAGTGTACGTGTCCTATGTCTGATGCTCAACAATTTCAGTTTATGAGTCGCAAAATATAACTGCCTATACTCACAACGTCGGCCTCATAATAACACCTGATACCATCATCGCCTCTGTCGAAAAATTTAAGGAGCCAACTTCCAGGTAGTGAATCGTGCGCTTTTATCGTGACACGACCTGCACGCGACACACCGATCTAGTATTCGTGATTCAGCCGTCGTTTTTACACTGCACGTCACCCTTACTCTTCATCCTTCTCAGTGACCAGGACCAGGACCGCTCAGAACCACGATATCATTGGTTCTTGACTCCTCCATCTAACTAGTACACGGGCCACAGACATTCATATACTCAATGTAAAGGCGAGAATTCTTGCATGTTGACAATACTATCATCATATCCGAATAGACTTTACTTTTCTTCCCACTCTCTCGTTTCGCAAGAGACCGGGCGAGCAGCTTGATAGTGTCATAGATCAATTCTTGGAGAGGGAAGAATGAGGTGCTCTCAAGCTGGCCGAGCGTATGTGTCAAACACTGTCTCCATCACTTTCTCGTCTTCCTCTAGATATTCTGCGAGTTCGAAGAAAGGCGAACAGCTTTAGATACTGTTCAAGGTTGCTAGAAGGTACGTGTTCGAGTTTATGCCGTTATCTTGGTTCTTCAGCTCTGTTATCACCTTTCCGCAATTGCCTCCCCCAGATCTGCTGGGACAAATACTGGTAGACCTCGTTCAACTGCTCAACCGTCTCCTCTATATAACTTGTCCATTCCGACACCTTCCGCCCATTATGCACAGCTGGCGAATGATCCATGGTCAAGGTACTATATCAAATCAATTTCCTGAGCTTCGTTTTCTGAAATTTTGTTGGTCTTCGCCCTCCCGTAGTAAAAGACAGGATATTTCCTATCTGGCTGTTCTTTTTTGTGACTCGTAGCACAGAAGAAGATATTCAGCGGAACGAAATTAATTCAAGCAATGGAGAGAGAACTGGTCGAAGTATAAAGTTGGCTCACAACCATTTAGTACATTGCCCGTTTAGCTTAATGGTAAAGCGCTAGATAGATATCTGTATGATGAGATAATATGTGCAATATCTGGCTGATGTGAGTTCGATTCTCGCAATGGGCATATTTAATTGTATGAGAGTCTTGAAGTCTCTTGTTCAATTAATTTTGCCCATTGTCGCACAAGAGACTTTTTCTTTTACTACATAAACTTCAGATCACCTCAGTAGTCTATGTGATCATTGTGATGGCATGAGGGGTATTTATACTTGCTCCAGCCTCTGAGTTGATTACCATGTAGGTCATCGGAACTCTTTGTGGAGTCTCTCTGAAATATATAGAGAGATTCTGAGGTCTCCCATGATATCTTTGAGTTCTTTTCAAAGTCCTGGAGGGATACCAGGATTTGGCCCTTTCCCTAGGCATCCAAGGATGCCTAGGATACCGGAGGTCCCTGAGGAGCTCTGGGGAGCCCAGGTTCTGTGGGGGAGCCTCAGGGACCAGGAGCTTTATATAGTTTTCCAGATGCTGCTGGGAGGCGGGGCATACGAGGAGGAAGCAAACATGAGTTGTCCCTGCTGTAGAGCAGGAGGATTGGTATGGTTCTCAACATCAATGTCCATTGAGTGGTGCTGATCTACATGTTCTAGAGACGACGAATGTGGTCCTTGCACCAGCGTGTTGCCATGAACAGCAACAAGAGGGGGCACATGTTGATCGTCCAGCTGATACTGTAAAGCTTTTGTAAAAAGACCTGATGAGTTATCCAGGAGCTTTTGAAAATAGTTGTGACGACACAGAGGGGGCTCCGGAAATGGCTCCGGGGGGTGGGCATGCCTGTCACCACCTGTCACATCTGACCTATATTTACTGTTTTGGGTAATTAATAATTATCCAGATATTAAATAAGCGGTACATTTGTAAAAAATCCTGATAAACTATAAAAATTCAGAAAAACCCAAAAAAACCTAATTAGGTCAAATTGGGGTATGTAAACAAAATAGCCTTATATGGTAAAAAATGCTGTAGGATCTATCTAGGTGCTAAAAATAGCCAAAAAAAATCACTAAAAATGCTAAAAATATGTAGGAATGGTATATAGCCTATTGCAGATCGAGGCATCCAAAAATTACCAAAAAAGGAAATTTTTGATGATGATGTCATCTTGTAGCAAAAAATCTGAAAAAAATCCTAAAAATAGTCAAAAAATTCAGGGGTGCCTTGTTGGCCCTGAAAATGGAAAATTAAAAAATATACGCGACAAGTGTAAAAATTTTCATCACTCCAAATCATTCCAAATCCACTATACAGTCAGTATATATGATGTATATGCTATATTTAGCATCCTAGTACCTTTATTGGGCTAAAAATAGAACTTGATCTCATCTGATAGCAAAAAATCTGAAAAAATCATAAAAAATACTCAAAAAATTCAGGGGTGCCTTATTGGCCCTGAAAATGCAAAATAAAAAAATTTACATGACACAATTGAAAAACAACATTACTCCAAATCATACCAAATCCACTACACAGTCAGTATATATCATGTATATACTATTTATAGCACCCCTAGTACCCTCAATCACTTATATCACTCAAGAATCCTACCAAACTGAATGATTTGGGGTATCAAACATATTGTACATGATATTTTTAACACACCTAGTACCCTTGATGACTCAGAACAATTTATATTACTCAATATGTTCAGTACACTTAACACTCATCAAACCTCACACATGAAAACTCATAACAGTACTTATATGTATTATACTTAACACAGTTGACAATGAAAATACTTAAAACAGTGTTGTCAGTCACTATACTTAACACACTTAACAGTCAAAAAGTCGGAACAATGTTACTTTATATACATAACACACTCATTGTTATACTATAACACACTTATAACAACGAGTTTTGGGCGCTTATGGGCGCTTATTTGGTGTTTTTGAGTCGAAATTCATTAATAGCACACTCAATAATGTTTGTCTGGGCTCTATACTGTGTCAGGATGTTGTCTATATCATATTCTTCTAAATACAATTCAGAGAACTCGAAAATTCAACCTGTCGGGTTAGCTATATTGTGATCTTTTGAAATATAACAGTGTTTTATTGTTATGAATCATAACAAGGCCCACCCCCAATTTTTCCTGATTTTCTTCCATTTTTCGCGGATTTTCCTAACAAGTTTTCAGCGTTGTAGCCGATGGCCGAACCGTCGCCGAACTGGCGTTTATTCGGTGCTAAACACATTTTCGCTTCTCGTCTCTCAACCTCCACCATCATCACCGTCACCTTCGCTCTTTCGACACCATTTACTCGCCCTCGCTCATTATGGACGCCAACGGAACGCCAACTCATGATCTAGGGAAGGACAAGGAGATCTAGGGAACACCTGAGGAATGGAGACCGCAAGGAAACGGTCGGCCATTCAAGATACCTTTTTGTGCGTAATCCGTTCGACAGAACGGATTACAAGTACTGACTAGGCTATAGGGAAGTGCCAGTAGACGTCGTCCGCTGACACCTCAGGCCCTTTCCTCTCATCTTCCTTGAACCTTCCTTCTTTGGCCGCCCATCTCTTCCTTCCAGAAACCCTCGGTCCCTTTCCTCCTGACACACCCTGGCTTTTTCCTGCTTGGTCCATTTATCCTGGTTCCCAAAACCTCGGCTCCGCTATACCATAGAACCATGACTCGTTTAACGAAGCCTTCAACGCGTAAGCGGCGTGACAAGAAGACTCTGCTGCTTCCAGTGGAAGGCCGGTTCTGCCCATCAGGAAAAATACCCCTGACCAGAGGTCTTTCAAAGACACCAGAGATTCCCCCAAAAGTCTAAAGTCTCTCAAATAGTTTAAAGTATCTAGAGTCTCAGAACTCTTTGGGAAAAGGGCTCAAAATTTGGTTTCCTTGAAATTCTTTAGAATTGTTTCTGAGTTGTTCAAAGGTAACTCAGAGATCTCCAAAATGCTCCAGGTTTTTGGGAATAACCTGAGCTCTTCAGATACTCTAGAGAGCTTGGATACTCTGAGCTGCCTAGGTTTTTTCCAATATCCTGAAGGTTTCTTGAGATTTTTCATGTTCTCTCAATATCTTTGAAAGATCTTTGAATATCTTTGAACATCTTTGAACATCTTTGAACATCTTTGAAAGATATTTGAGCTTCTCTGAAGACTTTGAGTGTTTTCAAAAATTCAAAATTTGAGATATTGAATATGAAATAAGATACTATTGCATCTTAACATCTAGAAGATAGTATAGTGTAGTAATACAGTGTAAATATCAGTTAAAATATTACAACTCACAGTTGTCAATAATATAGGTGGTCACATGACCTGCCACCGTAGACTGTGTACAATCAAAAAGAACTTCACCAGGTCAAAATCTGAATATAGCTATAATAACATATACTATATACATTGTTATCTATTATATTTGTTAACATTACACATATATAATGGTTGTAATAATATATTATGATACATATAATCAGAATGTGTTCCGAAATTAATAGTCATCAAGTTCAAATACAGTATATCATAATATATGAGTGTTAGTAGATATAGTCAATATAAGAGCAATAGATAGAGTATCATATAATGAAGTAAATGTGATTGAATAACTTTTTGAATCATTTGAACTCATTAAAGAGCTTTGGAAAATCTTTGAAAGATATCTAAATATCTCTGGAAGACTCTCAGAGATTCTCAGAGATATTCAAAGATTTCTAAAGATATTCAAAGAAATTCAGAGATTTTGAAAGACATTCAGGGAACTCTGAAGGCTTTAGGTTTTGGGGGGTGTCTCAGGAGACACCAAAGACACTGAAGACTTTAGAGACCCCAGGCAACCTGGAATTCTTTGAGATCTATGTTGGGTAGCCCTGAGCACAGAACATTTTTGCTGATGCCTTTCCTTTGGTCTCTCAACTCAATGGAACCAGTCAAGTTCCGTGTACGAACGTCGGGGTTTCCACATTCCCTGACACGCTCTAGAAGATAAGGAACATGTTGGGCCCGCTTTTCTCTACAGATTCCGTGTTCCCTATGTCTAACCAAACTCAGCGAGTCATCGCCTCCGCGAATGACTCGCTGCTATCCCTTCAACCTCGGCTCTGGACACTCCTAATGACCTCTATTGCTCTTACCACTTTCGTATACTCCCAACGACACCTCAGTCCCCAGACAACCGGAACCGAAGATCCTCCATCTTCAATTTTACCTGCTTGCTTCCTCCTCACAAGATCCCCGCCTCGTCGCCTGGATCCCTCTCGCATATTGTATGTATTCCTGTCGCTCTCGCTGACTCTCTCTGCAGATTCTGGTCGGGTCGCTCCTTTCTGTTGCACTTACTTGCATCCGCTACGAGGAACGGTGGATATCGTACGGTTACATTTCTTCGCTTACTCTGATCATTGTACTTTACGACCGGATCGACGCTGTTCACGTCGATTCGAGTCATGTTCACTTCCATTCAATAAGGACTTGAAGTCCCGGCGCTCATCGAGTCAACTCGAGTCCTCCCTACTCCTGTTGACTCGACTCGCGACCGACATTCTTTTATATTACTTACCTTTTATATCTTACCTACAAATTACCTATAAAAATCCCAAGTACTTGCATGTATTCCCTAGATCGGTTATTCTAGCTATTTGACCACTGTTTCCTCTAACTTTGTTGAACCTCTTTTCTCTCTCTTGTCTGACCAAGTCTCATACTAAGGATCATCCAAGTCCTTCCAAGTCCCGATTCACGACGTAAGACATTCTGCTTAGCAGATCTTGCACCGTTTCTCAGGACGACTAACTCGTAGCCGTCGAACTCAGGTGTATTCGAAGGTTAGAGTGTACGGTCACCTAACATAATAACCGATCTCTTCTGCCCCCAGAATGTCTACGCAGACTATCCGGACGGAGACTCGGTCTCAAACTGAACCACAAGCATCACATACTTATCCTCCAGGATACAATAGATCACCAGGAAACCCAGACTCGAACCCTGGATTCCTGACTCCGGGACGAATGTTGGGAGGAGAACCCCGACAGGTACCACCACACATGGTAATGCCGACCCCTCCTAACACCATTGTCCCTAACCTAAACCAACCATCTTTGCCAATCC